TGGGGATCGGATAGGTCTTTAACTTCTCCACCTTTGCTGGATCCGGTTGGATGCCGTCGTCGCTTACCACAAGGCCAAGGAAGGCGGTCGTGGTGATGCCGAAGTGACATTTGGGCGCCTTCAGCAAGAGGCCGTTTTCCCTCAACCGACGAAGCACCTCTCGCAGGTTATCTTGGTGCTCTTCCCAAGTCCGGTCAAACACCAAAATATCGTCCAAGTAGACGAAGCAGGTACGCCAGAGTAGCTCCTTGAGGATGTTCTGCATCATCCGTTGGTACGTAGCGGGAGCGTTGCACAGTCCGAACGGCATCATCAGAAACTCGAAGAGGCCTTCCGTACATATGAAGGCCGTCTTCTCAATGGAGTTGGAGGCCATGGGCACCTGCCAGTAGCCCGACGCAGCATCCATACTGGAGAAGTATTTGGCGCCCTCCAGTGCCGAGAGTATGTCGTCTATCCTGGGCAGTGGATACACGTCCTTCTTTGTCATATCATTGAGCGAGCGGTAGTCGACGCAGAATCTAGTCGATCCGTCTTTCTTGGACACGAGCACTATTGGCGATGCCCACGGGGACTTTGATGGTCGAATGACACCTTGGGCCAGCATCTTCTCAACCTCCGTCCTAACTATGTCTCTTTGATTGGGCGAAGTTCGCCGAAGCGGTAGATGCGCTGGCCGCTCATGTGTCGTGACGATTTCGTGTTCACGGCCCGTGGCCCTGCCGAAGGGTACCTGATCCGAGGCGAATGCTGCCTCCTCCAGCAGTAACTTAAGTTCTCTGGTCTGCCATGCTGCCAAGGATTCCGACATGTGGATATCGGGTTGGCGTTGGGCTACCGCCACGACCCGCGGTGCTCCATCCACCGGCAGAAACTTCAAGGTGGCCCCTTCTCGGAGTTGGAGAATTCCTTGGTCCGGTGCTGGCGTCAGTCCAACGTCGCGCATGAAGTCCCAGCCGATGATGACCTCTGGGCTCAGTTGGCGTGCCACTACAAACTTGTAGGTTCCGTATAGGGGCCCTAGTCTGTATTGGGCTTGGGTTTCGCTTTCTACGTGGACGGAGCTACCGTTGGCTGCGGCCAAGTCTCTGTGGGCCGGTATCATTGTC